GCCCTGGCCTCTGATTAAAATAAATCCCTTTCATGCACAGACAGTGGTTTGAGAAGGGGAAATACTGAACTGTGGTGAAAGCCTGGAGAGTTAATGGCTGGGCATCCTGGAATGGAAACACAAGTGGCATCAATTCAGGTACAGCTCTATACCCCAGCCGCTGGCATCGACATACAGTCATGTTCCCTCCTCTTAAACAATTTCTTCCACAGTAAGCTGATTTTTATGGTTCTTTCACCTAGGAGCAAATGTGAAAGCAACTCATTCTTGGGAATGAGAGATGAAAGGTTGCTTGGTGTCATATACATGCCACTTCTGGAGCCAGGAAAACCAAGGTCCTCTATGGACAGTTGGTGCTTTGCCCCAGTACGAGAATTAGCATCACTATTCCCAAGTGATGGCGGCTACCACTGTCTCTCACCAGAATGATAACAAAACCAGCACTGTAGTGTGGTCCTCCTACCCCCTGTATTGTACTCTCAGGGCCAGCAGACACCAGAGATATTCAGGCACTCACAAGGTTCTTTATTTAAAATGCGCTAGAGGAAATCCTGGTATAATACATTGCATGATGATTGGCCCACATAACTTACTGCTGTCAGCTATGACTGAGAAGGAACTGTGGGGAAAGGAGATGGCATTTATAGGAGTTGAGAACATCCTCTATTACACACATAAGCAAAGGCCATGGCTTGCAGCCCCACGAGAAGACAGGTTTTCATAAAGTACCTGAAGCAGGGGATTGAAAATGGAGAGCAATTAGAAAATCTCCAGACCAAACCAGCAATGTTCCTCATGAGCAGGTTGATGTATAAATATACTTCACACCAGATCCGTATTTCTGTGGAAGACCATTAAGTTCCTGGGAAGCCAAACTCTGGCAGAGGCAGAGCTACTAACCAAGGGAGGCTGTGACCCTGAACACAACTCTTACACCAGCATCACAGACAGAGAATCTTGCAGAAGTGTTAGTCCTGGTGCCAGCAAGCCTTTTGCTGCCTGATGAATCCTGTGTAAGTCACTCTTCCCTCAGTGCAAGCTGCTATCCTCTCCTCCTTGACCAGCTACCCAGTGGATTATTTTTGTCTTGGATCACACAGTCCCAATGTTACAATTACACGCTGACCTCAAAGACTTGCTTTTCAAATTACCCTTCTTCAGCAAACCCTCTGTCTAGTGGCTTGGGTGGTTTTTTTCCTTTTTATTTTTATATCTAAATGGTTAAATATGGGTGTGGTTGAGGAGGGAGGAAAAGAAGAAAGAAGCAGAGCAAGCAGTGAGCGGGAGGGTTGTGGGGGTCGTAACTGTCCTACTCATGACAGAGAAGTCCAGGTGCTCCAGAGACACACTTGAATTCCTCCCTTTCCACAGCAGCATCTTCTTCTGGAGGGTCAGCTCTCCTTGCTGACAAATGTCAGTTCACCACAGTGACAGCGGCAGTCCCTCTTCCTCATAGCTGCACCTAGGGACTTATTCTTGCAGGCACTACCTAAACTCAGAGACCCAAAAAAACAGTGTCCTTCAAACATGGTGTAAAAACTGGGACTTTCCTGCAAATGTCGATGTTAAATGTTTTCTAAACAGAAGAGGCAGAAAAGCAAACAAAGTGCTCTGAAAGGCCTAAAGGTGAACAGAGATAAAGCAGCCATGACTGTAGAGATGTCTTCTCATTGAAAACCATGTAGGGTAGGTGTCACCTGTCCATGTTGCTGCTCGCAGTCCATCAAATCCCTGCAAAACTTCACAGAATGCACAGAAACCTCCTCAGGAAAGATAAGCATCTTCTTCAAGGATGGAGAGTAGGAAGAAATAGGACATGGGTCTGTCCTAGCAAGGAAGAAAAGGGAAGCAACTCATAGGCTGACAGGAGAAACTTCAAATCAGCAGCAGCATCTCACACCCACGGTGCACACACAATTTTATCAGTTTTCTACACACTCAGGCTTTCCCTTCATGCTCTAAATAGCTTTAAAGCCCAGTTGAAATAGTTTTAAGGCTGATTTGAGCCACAGTGAGTTGGCTCCAAATGATGTAAGAAGCTTTGGCTGGACTGGTTATGAAAGTTGGCCTTTTAACAGCCTTCTATCACCTGGCCCATGGCTGCTCTTCTGCTCATAATGGTCTCCTTCATCTTCAGGCATGCATATCGCTTCCACACTGATCCACACACCTTGTCCTCCTGTCACCTTTGCTGCACACTGGCTATGTCAGGGTCCTGCCAGGGTAAGCTTCCATCAAACCTCACCAACACAAAGCCAAGAGTGGTACTTGCAGAGGAGACCTGCACACAGAGCCCCGAGCTGTGTATTTGAGAAGGGACCTGTTATTCAGGGGAGTGAGCCTGAGCCCCTGTTCTCGCTGGGGGTTCAGTCACAAAGACAGATCTGAACATCATCAGAGTGGAAATGATCTCAGCAGCATTTCTGGCAAAATCAGTGTTCCAGAGGCTTGGGAGGGATAGTCCTCTTCTGGAAAATGGTATTCTTCCTGCAGCTCCCCTTGAACACAAGATCTTTTCCCCTTCTCCACTTTTTACACAGTGGTTTTGGGGAGCTGTCCTGTGCTGTGGCAGAGCTTCACCCTCGCTTGCAGTGGCTGCACATCCCAGTGGGTGAACTGATGTGTGGTTTGGTGAAAGCTTTTTGGTTTGGTTGATTTTGTGAAATGCTTTTGAAGCCAATGACACTGAAATGGATCTGATATCCACTGGCACAGGCTACAGGCTGGTTAGCACAGCCCAGGCTGGGGCAGAAAGCAGTACTGAGCTCCAGTTAAGTGCTACCTATAAATGCTGTTAAGGGACACAATGACTATGAGCAGGCATCTGAGGACTCACCTTTTCTCTCATTTGGATTTAAAATGCCACATCCACCTGCCAAGATGTGCTGAAGTGTTTCACTGGCATCAGTCAGCAGGACAACAGTCAAAGGTCTTCATCTCTGAAATAAATAAAATCCCAATTCCAAACTCTGCTCCTTTAACAACCTACAGTAAATTTGCTCCTTTTTGCAGTCGTGGGGTCAATCAATTAGAGACTGCCTGGGTAGAAGCTTAATTAAGCTCAGATAACACAACAGAGCTTTCACCCCCTCAGTCTCCCTCTGTACACAACCTCCTTTACACATCTGGATAAAAGCTTCGCTGCTAAGCCTGGAGAGAGCCATTGCTTCGAGCAGAGAGCCCCGGAGAGCACATCTGAGCTCCCAAAAAGCATTGCAAACTCTTGCATCATGCAGAGGCAGGAGAAGCCAGAGCAGCTCGGAAGTGAGAAGATCCACTGTGGCAGCTGCTGCCACAGGGATAGGGTGACACTGGAAACAGCAAAAGGTGTTTTGACTGAGGAAACGTGGTGCCACGAGTTATTAATCTTCCAGCGGAGGCAGGAATCCCAGTGCTGCTCTGATGGTGCAGGAGGAGCAAGCCAGCCATTCAGGACTAGTCTGACAAATCTTGCTCCAGCTGCTTGGCTTTATTAAGGACAGAAGCCCTCGAGGGGTGGGATCTAGAGGCATCACAGAGAATTTCTTTTTCCTCTTTCCTAAGCACAAAAGACAGAAGTGGAATGTAGCTGAGGAATGCTTCGCCCTTGGAAGGGATGTCATAAATCTCCTCGGACGTGTATTTGGTTTATTTTGTGGGAGTCATTCAAAAGGAAAATGCAGATTGTGGGGCTTAGCGCTCAGCCTATGCTGGCAAAGGATCCCTGACAAAGAATGTCCATTGGCAGGGAATTTCCTGACTTTGCAAGTGAGCAAACGCCTCTTTTTCAGTTACTCTAAAAGCTGTCTCGCTATTATATAAAAGGTTGTGATGAGGCAGACTGTGATCAGTTCTGCTCCAGAAGAAGGACAAGTAATAATCAGCCTGATTTGCAGGAGGAAAGATTTGGGTTGTGCTCCAGAAAGTGCTTTTTTTCCCCAGGAAGGTCTCCTGGGCCGCAGGGGGCTGCTGGGGAGCTGCAGCATCCCCATGGCTGGAAGCATTTCACACACGTGTCAGGCACTGCTCCTGGGTGACTCCACCTCGGAGAAGGGGGAATGGCTTCAGAGACTTCCTGAAGTCCCTGCCAGCCCTCTGGTGATCATTACTGTGTCATTATTTAACAGTGGGAGTGTCGCCTTTGGGATAGGGGCTTAAGGAGGATCCTTCCTGCAGGGGAGATCACTGGACCTAAGGATAGGTTAACAGGCAGAGGGCAGGGAAGAAGAAAACGGATGGGAACTGATGTGCAGATGGACTTTAACAAAGCAGCCTGCCAAAGAAAAAGCCCAAAGGTGACTGTGGATCTACCACAGAGCAAGATAAGGCTGAGCTGGCTGGCAGAGGTGTGCAGGGAGGAGGGAAGGGATTACTCCTGGGGTCTACCAGTGAACTCGATGGGGAGATCATGACAGAGGCTGGTGGGATGGCAGTAAAACGTATGGGAACCCTAAACCAGGGTTTGAGAGGACCTGGTGGAAGAGGAATAGACTGCATGGAGCCAACCACAGCTGCCTGCAGTGGTTTCACCCTTAATGTGATCACCACAGTGGAAGGTAGCAGAGGCTACCAGCCATTAGCTATCAGCCATTAGCTCTACACAAGTATTTATAAATGGTAGAGACTAAGTTTATCACCACTTAGCCAGTGGTGATAAAACTCCAGCTATAAAAGCACAAGAGCCCTTCTACCTGTCTGTTTGGGCAAGAGTGGGGGAGGCTGAGCAGGCAGAGCTGCCTTTAGAGCTGCAGGATGCCTGGGGAGGGGTGGAAGCATGGTCCCTACACACACCCCATGACCCCTGCTGTGAACCTCAAAAACTGGCCAGGTTGACCCCTACTAGAACCAGCCGGGTGGTGGCATCACCACTGGAGGCCACAGCTCTGGATCAGCCACACTGTCATCTCATCACTCTGCTCATCCCCCAGCAATGCAGCGTTGCTCACTCTGTCAGGTTACTGGAGATTTCCCTTTCTCGTGTGCTTGTGAGGAGATAAAAGACAGTATCATCAGCAAGGAGATGTCTGTTAAGAGTTTAATTTCCTAGAAGAGGAAGTGTGTTTGCAGTGCTCGGTGGAGGGGAAAAGGGCCCACAATACATTTTAAGAGTCCTTCAGGTTGTTGCCTGCCATTGGCATCATGTTTTCAGTGTTTCTGTTCTTGTCAGGGTGCACAAGTATCTTCTGTTCTGCACCCTCTGCTTTCACATGGAGAGGAGGTGCCTGTGTAAAGCAAGCAATCTTATCTAGAAGTCAGCAGTCTTGGGTTATTACCAGAGCTGGACTAAGCACTTTGCTGCCGTTATCACTGCTATTGATTTTACATTTATAGAGAGCTGAAAATTTACACAGAGCTTAATAAACACAAAGTTTCCTGGACTGCAACTAGTGATAGGAGAACTGGGAGGCCTCTAAAAAAAACCAACCCTCAACATTTAAAACACCCAGCTCACATTTACATGGTATTTCTATGCTATGTTTTCCAGTACAGTAATAGGCTGAAGATTAGAGGAGCTGCTGATGTACTCCTGTATGGCCACACACGTAAGGACAACATGAGAGCAAACGGATCTAACATCCTCCCAGATAGAATGGCAATTTTATACAAGATATCCCACTGATGTCACCCAATGTTTTAGACAGACAAGTCCAAAATGTGCTGACTAACAAGGTACTGGGTTCTATTCCTGTTGCGACACAACATTTCACTCAGGTTTTCCAAAGATGCAGCACGTCCTTCTTGCAAGAGTGGGTCTGAGTCTTGAACTGGGTTACAACATGGGATATCACTGGGCTGAGTTATCTGTGAGCAGGAAAGTCAAGCAATGTAAGATAGGCAAATTAGCTCCCTCAGGGCACAGCACCATTATCAGCACAAATGTTTTGACTCTGGACAAATTGTTCATCAGTTTAAAAATTAAAACCTTTTGGCTTAAATCTTTGTTGGCATTTAAAGGATGTTTTTTCTAAAGGGACCTCTGAGAGCAGGATTAATGTCCCGTGGCCCCTCTACTGCACATCCCAAAGTATCACTTTGTGCAACACTTCCTGGCAGAGAAACTCAAAAGAAAAAGGAACAGGAAACAAGCATGGGAACAGGGAAGTTGGAAGATGCAAGGAAAGAGTGGAAGTCATGTGGCCTTGAAGAGAAAGGAGCACACAGAGAATCCTAATAATCTCTGATGAATTTAAGAGGTAGGCTGAATGATGATTCCAGGATGAAAGCACTGGAGAGGCCTCAGGAGATCCGAGTCATCACAGGCTGGTGCTCAAAGGGGACCAGAGACAGAAGTAAGGTTAAGCCCAGTGTTGGGGAAGCACTCAGGGAAGTGGAAACCAGTACCTGAAACCCCAAATAAAACCACAAACAAAAACAACCAGAGAAGGTTTTAAATGCAGAGATGACATGTGCCAAAGCTGTGCTATGGCAGAAACCTTGCCAGGAAACCCTGCACGAGACATGCTCTCTGGAGGTGTGGATATCCTCCAGGAGTTTGGGTACTCCGCTCTGAGTTTCATCTTCAGCTCCTCACGAGCAGTGAAAGTTGTGGCACTCCTCACTCCCTGCTTCTGCTCTGGAGATCTGGCTGTAAATGGAGGTGTACCACTCACACAGTTTACCTTGGCAGGCTGTAAACATCCTACTGCTGGCTCCAGGGTGTGGCCAGGCCCTTTCTGCAAAGCTTCTCCCTATTCCCAAGAGGCTGGCACGGATGAATGGCCCAGCCTTGGAAAATATTATCACCTCCCAGAGAATGCTGGTTCTGAGCTGTACCCAAAGGAAGCCAGGCTGCACTTGGGGAAAACTTGGTGAGAGGCTGCGTGAAACACCCTGCTCACTACATGTACATGGAGAGGAGCAGAGACATCAGCTTTTGAGAAGCTCATCTACGAATATGCCCTTACATCTTAGCCCTGACACTGTGCTTTCAGCCTGGTACCTGCCTGTGTGCCACAGAGTGTTCCCTCATATTTTTTGAGCGCTGGGCACGTGTGGATGTAGCATATTTACTTGCCTACCTTTTGCTCCAGACTATCCCAAAATAGCTGATGAGGCATTTATGGCTGGCGACTCCCAAGGTCCCACAGGAGTATTTCCCCACAGAGTATTTACTCTAGTGAGAAGGATCCTGAAGCAGGTTTGAAGCCCCTTGGCCTCACTTGAGGCACACCCAAGCACAGCTCTGCAATGCCATCTGTCCAGGTATCTTCCTGAACCTCCCACACAGAGGCCAAGGGCTTTCTGTCCAGTTCTGCGTCATGTCTGACGTCTACAGGTTGGGTGGAGAATTGACTTAGAGCAGCTCTGTAGAGGACTTGGGGGTGTTGGTCAATGAAAAACTGAACATGAGCTGCTTCAGTGTGTGCTTGCAGCCCATAAAACTAACCATATTCTGGGCTGTATCAAAAGGAGCGTGACCAGCAGGTCGAAGGAGGTGATCCTGCCCCTCTACTCTGCTCTCGTGGGACCTCACCTGGAGCATTGTGTGCAGTTCTGGTGTCCTCAGCATAAAAAGGACATGGAACTGTTGGAACAAGTCCAGAGGAGGCCACAAGGCTGATCAGGGGGCTGGAGCACCTCCTGTATGAAGATAGGCTGAGAAAGTTGGGGCTGTTCAGCCTGGAGAAGGACCAGGGGAGACCTCAGAGCAGCCTTCCAGTAGCTGAAGGTGCCTTCAAGGATGCCAGAAAGGGACTCTTCATCAGGGACTGCAGTCACAGGACAAGGGGTGATGGGTTCCATCTTAAACAGGAGATTAAGGCTGGATATAAGGAAGAAGTTCTTCCCTGTGATGGTGCTGAGGCGCTGGCACAGAGTGCCCAGAGAAGCTGTGGCTGCCCCATCCCTGGCAGTGTAGGCCAGGCTGGATGGGGCTTGGAGCAACCTGCTCTATTGGAAGGTGTCCCTGCCTGTGGCAGGGCGTTGGAATTACACGATCTGAAGGTCCTTTCCAACCCAAATCATTCTGTGATCCTATGATGACAGAGGGAATTAATTACATATAATTCTAAACATGATTTTTTCCTTGGTATGGTACTGTGTATCTCAGCAAGACAACTATGAGGGCTAAGCCATGGTTGTTCTGCTGTGCACAGGGTTAATGCACAGCCCTTGCCAGTGCTCTCCACAGAACATTTCAGTTTCACTTTAACCCACCACTGCTCCACCTGTACCTCTCAATGCAGCTGCCAGGCACATATAATGTGATTCAATTTGATCTGGGTGCTTTTCTACTCTACATGGGCCAGTAGATATCAGAGCCTCAGTATACAAGTTATTTTCAGCTTGTCTGTGACACACAGTTCCACCCACCAGGCTTGCACAGATATATAAATCATGAGGAGTCAAAAATAACAGGCCCTGAGGAAACATCTGTCACTTCCAGAAGCTTGAGAGGGAGGAGGATGGAGCATTCAACTCAACAACTTACTGAATTCTCCTTAGCTCCAAGAAAGCAGAGTGCAGCGAGCCTTTCCAACACAGCCCAGATGCCTTGGCAGTTAGACATTCACATTGCCTTCACACTGCATTTGACCTGTGAACGTAGCACAAGCAATACAGAGATGCTCGGGATCTGAGTGACTTTATTATCACCTTTTATCATTAAGATGAATGGATTGCTTTCTGGATCTTCTTCCCCCCAAAACTGACTGGCTGATTGGCCTTTGCAAACTGATCTCTTCCTCAGAGCACACTGAACTCGCTGGGATGGAACTTACTGATGGCTGCTGTAGTGCTGAAGCCTGCCACCTCCCCTGCTGGTGGAGCCTGTAGGCCAGAGCCTTGCATATCCCACAGCTACTGAAGTAAGAAATCAGGATGATGAGAGCTGAAGTTGTCTGTTTGTTCTCTCCCTCCTCCTTTCTGATGGGATCTGATCTTCTTTTTTGGATCCCAACTCCACTCGTTCTTCGCTGCTCTTCAGAGTGGAGGAAACCGCAACGGAGAAGACACTGTATGGAGCGCTGCTCATGCACCTCACACGGGCCAATGGTGCCAACCCGTTAGGCATGAAGGTAAAGGGAAGACGGGGGGCAGATGGTGCTGCTCTCCTCACGCCGGCAGAGGCAATCCCTGTACAGGCTGCAGGCCGGAGCTCGGCTCTCACGGATCCCCCTGCCCCTGTCCCTGCTCCCGCCACGGTGCCAGCCGGGGAACGGGCGAGCCGCGGCCGCTCCCGCCGCACCACCCAAATATTTACACTGCGGCGGGCTGCGGAACGACAGAAGGTGAGCGAGGACAGCGCAGGCTGCGAGTGCAGGAGGCCACTTCCCCCGCCGGCTGCCCCGGCCCCGTTTCCCCCTTCCCTCCGCCGGCTGCCCCTGCCCCGGGCCGCCATGAGGAGAAGCCCCTCCCCTAGCCCCCCCCCGCGCTGACGATAGCGAGGCGCAGAGCGTGCAACGCTGGCCCAAGCCGCGGCGCTGCTGCCCCCTGGCTGCGGGCGGGCAGCACTGCAATGTCCGTGTCTCTGCCGGTCTGTGCCCGTCCGTGTCCGTGCCTTGTCGGTGTGTGTCCGTATCCGTGTCCGTGTCCATGTCCATGTCCGTGTGTGTCTGTGTCCGTGTCCGTGTCCGTGTCCATGTCCATGTCCGTGTGTGTCTGTGTCCGTGTCCGTGTCCGTGTCCATGTCCGTGTGTGTCCGTGTCCGTGTCCGTGTCCATGTCCATGTCCGTGTGTGTCTGTGTCCGTGTCCGTATCCGTGCCCATCCATATCCATGTCCGTGTGTGTCTGTGTCCGTGTCCGTATCCATATCCGTGCCAATCCGTGTCCATGTCCGTGCCCGTCCGTGTCCATATCCATGTCCGTGTGTGTCTGTGTCCGTGTCTGTGCCCGTCCTTGTCCGTGCCTTGTCCGTGTGTGTGTCCGTGTCCACGTCCGTGTGTGCCCGTGTCTTTCACCGTCGGGGTCCGTGCCCGTGCAATGCAGAAGGATGGAATAAACGACCAATCCATGCTTTCCACTTCTGCAGCCTTTCGGCTCCTGGTGTCGGTGGAAGGGCCCGTTTCCCGGGTCACGGGGATCGGTAACCTCTCCGCATCACCTCCCGTCCCCGGGCGATGTCGGTGATTTTGTGGGGCAGTTGGCTCCATTCCCAATGCCCCGCTGCCGTTTACCGTCACCCCATTCACACACACACGCGTGTCCCCGCGGTAGCCGCGGGGTGATGACAACCTGCCGGCGGCAGCACCCCGCACGGCCGCCAGGGGGCGCCGCCGCCGCGGCCATGGCGGAGGAGGGCGGAGCTGCGGCCGCCGCCATGAGCCCTGCGCGGAGCGGGGGAGGCTCCGGTTACCGAGCGGGGCGGGCGCGTCCCGGAGCGCCCCGAAACCCACTGGGAACAGCGGTGTCCTCTGAGTGCCCGCAGGGACGCGGCTCAGCACCTCCGCTTGGGGAGCCGAAACCTGCCACAGGGAGGGGCCGCCCCGGAGCTCTTGCCCTGACGCTCAAAGCGGTGTAGGAGAGCAATAGAATCCCAGACTGGTTTGGGTTGGAAGGGACCGTAAAGCTCATCCAGTTCCAACCCCTGCCCCGGGCAGGGACACCTTCCACTAGAGCAGGTCGCTCCAAGCCCCATCCAACCCGGCCTTGAGCACTGGCAGGGATGGGGCAGCCACAGCTTCTCTGGGCATCCTGTGCCAGCGCCTCAGCACCCTCACAGTGAAGAACTTCCTCCTTATATCCAATCTAAACTTCCCCTGTTTAAGTTTGAACCCATTACCCCTTGTCCTATCACTACAGTCCCTAATGATGAGTCCCTCCCCAGCGGCCTTGTAGCCCCCTTCAGACACAGGAAGCTGCTCTGAGGTCTCCACGCAGCCTCCTCTTCTCCAGGCTGAACTTTCTCAGCCTGTTGAGTCCTCACCTGCTTGCTCGGGCTTAGAGACCAGCTCCTCACCTCCAGCTCAAAATGTGCTGGTTTTACCAAGCCATCAAGGGGAAAATTTCCCTTGGAGGAAAGGAAACAGAGGCCTGCAGGACAGCTCGAGAGTCCTCACTACAGGAAAGGTACAGATCTGTTGAAAAGAGTCCAGAGAAGGGCCACAAATATAGCGAGAGACTGGAGCACCTCTGCTGTGAGGAATGGCTGAGAGAGTTGGGTCTGTTCAGCCTGGAGAAGAAAAGGCTCCAGGGAGACCT